CATGAGGTTATCAAGGTCGTCGCGGCCGCATCGCTCGGAGCGAAACCGGTCGGCGGCCCGCGAGACGGAGCACAGTCCACAGCTCAATGTCGTCGTCGTTGTCGTCGTCGTCGTCGTGGCGCACTGCATGGGAGGAGTTTCGAATCCGCTGGCGCCACATGGCCAGCGGTGCGAATTATCTGGTCGCTGCAACGTCACCCACCGACACCACCTGGTTGGCCACATGGGCGCTCGACGTTGCACTTGGACGTGCGCCGCCAAAAGATGACGACGATCATTTTAAGCTATGAGTACCTACCACTAGAAGTAGCGAAGACGGTGCTCGAGTAATTGTTGAACTGAGATGTCGGTACTATGAACCCTCCTCGCGTGCACGTCGAAGCATTGAACGTGGAGTCGTTGCATTACGACGATGTGCGGTTCGCGGGTTGTAGTCGCCTGCGCCTCCATTGCGCGCGTGTTTAGCTACACGATCCCACTCCGCCGCACCACCTGTCGTGATGACGCCGCCCAGTTCGTCCGCTGGCAAAGCTCTCTTCGGCATCATCGACCCACTCTCTTCTGGAACCATTGCAATGACATTCGAGGAGGGGACAGAAAAGCGAGGCTTTTCGGATTCGAGTCCCTCTCTTCTTCCATGGACGACGTATCGTTATCCAGTAGCTTCAATACCAGTCCGACACGTGGCAAGTTGCATGTGAGCACTCTTGCAGGAATTGAACTCGAAAAGCAGCATCCCAACACGTACATGCTGGCATCTAGCATTTGATCGTGAGTGATCACGGCCTGTCCTTGTCTCCCCTCTTGTATGGACGTAGATTCGTGTGGCACTGTTCAAAAGTGACGTGCGTAATGCCAAGTGGATCTTGTTTACTATTGGCGTAGAGCCCTTCTACTCATACTACCGGCTATACATGTATGTTAGTTACTGCATTGCTTGCTTCTGATGGCATGTACCGAGCTCGACGATGATGATCGTGGGTCGCTCCCACTCAAATCGTCGTCTGCTTCCAAGAACGGCAACAGCAATGTCGTCGGCTGTGGCTACTCTCTATAGGGCCCCAGGCAAGCTCTCAAGTCTTCCACTTGGTGCGATTCTTGCTCCAGACGCGTAGCTAGGGTGAAGGATTTCGGTGCTTATAGTTGGTTGGTCGTACGGTACTGTCTGTAGCTGTCCACAGAGACGCCTCGTGCAGCTTTGTTGTGTGGCTCGGGACGTGGGACTCGACAGCCTCGTTTCCAGATTTCAATGTAAACTTCTACTAATCACCGCGACCGCTGTCCAACACCCACACGGTCACCAGCTGGCGGCTTGAGAAGAGGCAACAACACACGCGGAAAGCGACCTCAGAGTTCAATTGGCACCGACGTGCGCATTAGAAAGCCAACGATGACAGCGACGACGAGCGTCGACCCGCCAGCCACTACTAGTAGTGTGTACCGCGGTCGCTGCAAGTACAAGAGCGGGCGATGCCCAAACGAGCGCACGCTCAAGTACAACGGCGACATCCACACGCTCTGCGAGGAGCACCGCCAGCGCCACAACCAGATCCAGTGCAAGTCCGACACCAAAATCCGGTTTGTCAAGCGCCAGAAAGCTCTTCTCAACAAGCTCGCGTCGCCACATAGCAGTACCACAAATAGCAATCGACGTCCCCCGTCGGCCACTGTTACCAGGATCAAGCAAGAGCATCGTATGGACGAGATGGCACTGCAGACATCGCCGAAGAAGCTCCAGCCACTCGAATTCACCGCGCCGTCCTTCGACTGGTCGGACGAAGAGACGTTCATCTTTACGAATCTCATGGGCGTCGCGACCGCAACCACCGAAGCCTTCGTCTTTAGCGTCTAGTTCGACAAGCTGTTTATTTAACCTCCTGTGACCTGTACACCCAACCCTCCCGCCCAAGGGAGTTTTCTTGCTCGGGCCACACATTTCGCCGTCCATGCAACCCAGGCCAATGAGACCCACACGCCGAACACGCACCTACTAGTGTCGAAGCTGCGGTGTCGACACGGCAATAGGATTCGGGTATGGCTCCCAGAAAGGCCAGGCGCCAACCACGCTGCGAAGAAGCGACGGGGCGCGATGCTGGGACTAGGCGCGGTCAAAGCACTGTTACGCACGAGGAGTAGCCGCCGGTTTCTTGAGTCCTCGTGGCAAATGCAAGTAGCCGACTACCTCAAGAACGTGCGACGACCAGCAGCAACGTTCCCAGCCACCTCGGCTGTTGGACTGCGAAATACAAACCAACGCTGTACAGGCGCATTGGATACCACCGTATACTACGGAGTCTCCTCCTTGACTCTTCTCTACAACTTGTGAGCTAATCAGCGGCAAATTTGTGGCGCGACGCTGACAAGAGGAGCAGTGCGACGGGCGCAATGCCCACGGGCCACAGTAGCCCAAGCGAGAGGAGCCAAAACCTACCGGTATCCATCAGTACTTGGTCGTAGTAGCGACGAGCGAGGAGGAGGTATTACCCTTGCCAGAGCCAAGCAAGCGCGATCGTGCACCACGTCGTGCTCCACCTACGACCAACAACGTGTGTCATTTCCATCCGATGGGAGACACAGCCTACCCCATGGCCAATGCAAGGACCAGCCGGTTGGACGGGCGGACGCCCAGATGCAGCGGACCCATCGCCGACGGGACAAAGAGCGTTGTGTACAGATACTGCTTGAGGACGCCGTAGTAGCCGAGGCACGAGAGTGCCAGCCCCAGGCCGCGCCACCCCATGGTCTGCCAACGCTACAATAGCAGGTTCCATGCCAATGTCATGAAAACAAGCATGGGATGGGACGTACGAGGGATGCCTGGGCGTGGTGCAGCATCGTTTCGGCCGGCACGAGGCCGTCGTGCACGAGTGCAATGGGCACACCGCCAGCGCTCGTATAGGGCACCAGCGATCCGCGGAGAGGCATCGCAAGGATGCTCACCTACACGCAATTGCGTGGGTTCGAAGACGACAAAAAAGCAGGCGTGTACGCGCTTGGCCGGCGTCACAGCGAACGACACCCGGAGGTCGCCGATCGCACTGCGGTGCGGGCGCGGCTCGTTCTTGCGCGGGCGCGACAAAAACGCGGTCTCCGCGTCGATAAACATGTCGACCAGCGCCGGAATGGCGTCCACGGCCTGCGCAGGATGCGATGAGCAATCGATTTCCGGGCGGCATTGTACCTGCGGCGCATGCAAGGTCAAGTCAAAGACCGACTCCATCTGGAGAAGCGAGCGCTGGTCGAGGCGGATCGGCTCTGTCGGCGTCGATATCAAGTCGACGATCGCACGCGAGAGCGCGTACGTCTCGACGTGCAACGACGGGTGCGTCGTCTACTGCAAGCATCCATGGGCTGCTACACGAGGTGAGAGACAGCGCACCTTGCGAGAGGTGTACGGCCACAGGGTCGGGTTGCTGTAGCTGCGGTCGTCAAAGCGGTCGCTGTAGATCGGCGACTCGCTCCACACCTCGTCGTACGAGTACGTCACGTCCTTCTTCTCTTCGCCGTCTTCCCAGTACGTGTGGTCGTGGCGGGTCTCTACTCGCATGCTAGCACGGCTGCTCGTCGAAGAAGATACTACCTCGCCACTGGTACATCTCGACGGTCCGATGCAAGTGGACGCCAGCGACCGCGATGCCAAACTCACGGTCCGAGACAATCGGCCGGCCATTGTCTTGGCCCATGAGGCGCGCCGAGATGTGCACAAGGCGGCCGTCCAGCGCTGCCGTCTCGAGCGTCGGGTCGTACATGACGACGTCGGCGAGGGCGCCCGAGAGTCCATCGTGGGTTCTGGTTGCATGGGCTTCGTTGCCAAAGAGACTAGCGACGCAAACGAGCACGCAGACGAGGCCGGCAACCAAGGCCACGACCGCGTTACCGGCCGTCTGCTTGCGCGGCCGGTCGTCGTCGACGTCAGGACGCATGGTGCTGCAATTTGAGAGTGGCATATGCCACACTATAGTAGTGGCATATGCCACTCATGCAAGGCTGCATGCCGATTGGGCTCGGATTATTTTCGGCATCAATGCGCTGGCAGCACCAGAGCGCGTTTTTGCCGAGTGCAATCAAGTCATGACCACGCACGGGTGCTCTTGAAGCGCCGACATCAATGTCGAGTAAGTACCATGGAGAAAGAATGTAAATGGTGGCCAGCATCGCGGAAGCAGATGACCGTATTGGCGCCAAGATCCCCAGCGACGTCGAGGTACTCACTCATCAGGGCACCTTCGACTGGTCCAAGGCGAATCAAGCAAGGACGCTGCGAGAGAGGCCAAGGCATCGATCGACGACGCAGGAAAGGGCGTCGTCGTCTTCAAGCGCAACGTCATCAGCCTCCGGGCATGACCACTCGTTCGAGTGTAACTGAAACAACCAAGAGATGCAAGGCGACGAAGAGGCGGACGCGGCAGCGCGGGTGATCCAGCGCATGGTGCGTTGTCATGCGGCGCGCCGGTTCATGCAGCACATCGCGACGTCGGTCTACCGCAAGTGCTACGACGACACGTCGGGGCTCTACTATTACTGCAATCTCCGGACTGGCGACACGGCGTGGGACCGCCCCCGCGTCTTCTCTGCTCTTGTCGATGCACCTTTTTTCTCGGTCGACCTGCTGTCGGCGGCAGACGAGAAGTCGACGCCAGAGGTCGATGGAATCGTTGATGCACTGCCCATCAAGACGCGCAAGATGCAGCGAGACGAGCTGGCACGCTTGCGCCAAGAAGGCCTAGCACTAATCGCGCGCCGCGCCGATGCCAAAGCGTCGCTCGAAGCGTCGCAGCGCAAGAAGGTGCATCAAGGACGCAAGGCATGGGAGAAGCGGTGTCTGCAGCAAAACGAAGAAGCGCGGATGGAGCGCCGGCGCCACGTGGCCGCCGAGAACAAGCAGCTTCTCCAGACGCTCCTCGACGGCACCTATGTACAACAAACTGTCGTCCTTTCGTTCGCCGAAACCACAGACAATATGCTAATGTAGAAACCACAGCTCGGGTCAATACGCGATGCCTGTATGCGCGGGGATGTCGCCCGCGTCGCAGACCTCTTGCAGCAAGGGTTCAGCGCCAATGCAGAGAGCGTACAGATACAAGCGCCTCGGTATAACATGAGGACATCATCTTTCGCGTAGGCCATGGGGCTCACGCCGCTGCTCGCTGCATGCAGCAATGGCCAGCTGGCCGTCGTCCAGCTCCTTCTCGACGCCAACGCGGACGTCGACCACCGTCACGTGGTAATCCTCTACACGCCTCGTCCATCGTCTCAGTAGAAGCCGCAGATGACGCAGCGAACGCCGTACATGGAAGCATGTGAGCGCGCCGAATGCGCCGATCTTGCGTGAACTCTTGCGCGCCGGTATACATACG